GGGGGGGGGCATCTGATAACCCGATTGCAGCTCTAAACAAGAAGAAAAAGATAGAAAAAAGATAGAAACAAAGGGAAAAAAGGAAAAAATCAGGGGGTACCTAATGGCTCCCTCAGAGGCGCCATGGAACCTGAATCGTGTCCCGAAGTTTCCGAACCATTCATCTCAAGGTCGGTTTCCCCGACATCAGCCCGGTGACTCTGCGGCTTCCTCTGTTGACTTGCTCTTCTTCCACCCCCTTCCTCGGACCTTCCACTTCCGCTCTCTTGACGGCCCCTGCTCTCGTCAGAGCCAAGTCGTGTCCGCCGTGGTCGGAACGGGTTCGGCCAGAGACGGAAGAAAGCCCATAACACGGGGAGGTTGGCGATGGTGACGGCGACGAAACACTCGCGGACGGACCACATAGCTCCTTCCACCGGACCATTTACTTTGTTCTGCCAGTTGTCTTCAAGTTAGCCCACGTTGTCGGCCTGCCGTTGCCCCGTTGCCCCGTTGCCCCGTTGCCCGTCTTAATCTTTCACGTACCCGGAGGGTGATGATACTCCGCAGAAGACACGCTGCGATGACGAAAAAGGCCCCCGAAAAGAGCACAGCGAGTCCCAGCTTCTTCAGTTTCGGGAGTTTTACCATCCAGAGCATTGGAAGTGGGAGGACGATGAGGTAAAGGTCGGTAATGGAGTTAAGCGTGGCGTTGGTGTAGATGACCGCCTTCGAAATAGCTGGATAACATACGTCTGTGGGTCCATCGGAATGGAAGACGAACAATAATCAGAACTCGATGTTTCTGAGAAGGCATTGTCTCAAGTGTGAGATGTGGAATGTGGAATCTGATGGCCCCTAGGCCCCCTACTTACTGCCCGGGTCTGGATATATTTGCCAATGCCGCTCCATTGGGTGACAAGCGAAGAGGACACATCCCATGAGGGCGATGTACGATGCGGCGATGAGGGCGAAGCTGATATCTAGCATCGTTCGGTAACCTTGGACGCCAGTCTTAAATGAAGAAGTCAGCTTCATACATGTATCGACAGCATAGACTGCATGTGTGCTAAAGTCTGGTAGAACGACAGGGCGCATCACGTTGGCACGTACCGTCAACCGTAGATAGAAAGCACACATGGAGGACTTGATGATCCAGTTCGCCGTGACATACATGGTCCAGCCCGCCACCTGGATCTTGGAGCCCAAAACCCTGTCCGGGGCAATTAGCCTTCCCGCGTCTCGTCGTGATATCACGGTCCCTCGCTCTTCGTTCTGGCCAAATAAAAGCTTGAGGAGGGCCCGGATTCGGATCATTTTCCACCGACCTCATGGCATATTCTTCGCTTTCCGGGCTCAGAGCTCGTCTTTCGGCGTCGGACATGTTGCTATTTGTCAGTCCATGGGTCACGCCTTCCACCGTGTCTGCCAGGACTGCGTTCGCCGTATAAGGGAGCATGTTGACCAGCATAAGGTAGTCGTCCGCCCTCATCCCACGCCAGCCGACCATGTACACTCGACCGAAGAGGCGAAAGAGGATGATGAAAAGGCCGAGGGAGAGGAAGACAAATATCTCCACCGTAGAGGAGTTCATGCTCGGCGCCTCGCTATTCTCATCGTGGGCATTGTGAGATTCGAAGAAGCACGAGAGGAAGGAATATGGCGTTCGGCGTGGGGCAATGGAACAAAAATCGAGAAAATCATGACGGAACTCGGAATTATCAAATCTTTTTGGTTCCCCGTCTCTGCTTCTTCTAGAATTCCGTAACCGGTACGACTGCATGACGCGACTCGATGAACCGTACCTGGGAGTGGAACTAAACCAACGGCGTCAACTCAAATCTTTCTTTGTCAGTTGGCAAGGCCCATTAATATCGCCGATCGGGATCTAGGTACGTTTTCAGGGTTTCGTTGTCCGATCTTGACCTACCCAATAGTTCCGACTGCATCGGCTGTGTGCGTGATTATTTTCTCTCGGGGGGCTGCCCCTTATTGACAAGTGCCCGACAAAGACTGCGCCCGAACATACCCGAGACTCCTGGAGAGCAAGACCATTTAGAATGTTTCGAATCTCAATAATGCCGGTGAAACGTCCAACTATGCCACGACCGTACATGTAGATATATTCGGATATTCTTCTAGAAGTCTGTGTGTGCTGGAGGGTGAGTGAAGTGGCCCAAATCATGCGCTTCTGTCGAGACATGGATATAGATCAACGAATTCGCTCTCTGTACAGAATGAAAAGAAGTAAAAAAAAGGAGGATGAAAAGATGAAAAGAAAATTCTAGCCCGTAGTTCGTTGCTGGTCGTTCACGTCGCCGGTACCAAACAATTCCATATGGATCCGACCTCTCTTGACACCGAACTCCTCCAGCCGGTCCCTCACCGCCAGCATCCACGACTGGGGACCACAGACGTAATAATCCGTCCTGGGATCCTGGAGGGAAAGATGCTCGTCCCGATCAAGACGGTTCAAGTCGAAAATGCCATCAAAGTCAAAATCGCGCCCCTTCTCCTCCCCCTGCTTCACCTTCTCCAGGAAGAGGACCGTGCCGACGTTGCTCTTCTCGCCCGCCACCTTCCTGACATGCTGCCCGAAGGGGACCTCCTCGCCGTTCCGCGCGGCGTGGATCCAGTGAATGGGGCGGGAAGTGACCTTGGACTCCGGTGACAGCACGGCGTCGAGGATGGACATCTCGGGCGTGACGCCCACGCCAGCGGACATGAGCACGAGCGGCACATCAGCCTTGGCAGGGTCTTCAACGTCTACGGTGAAGTCACCGCGCGGGAACGACATCTCGACGACGTCGCCGGCCTTGTAGTTGTCGTGGAGCAGATTCGAGACCAAGCCGGCCGGGGGGTCACCCCGATCATCCTCCCTTCCCGCCGAGGGGACCTGCCTCTTCACGCTGATGCGGTAGCGGTCGGCCCTCGGCGCTTCGCTGAGACTGTACTGGCGGCACTGGAAGATGCCGTCGAGGGAGGAGACCTTGACGCGCACGCTGACGTATTGGCCGGGGTGGCACGCGGGGAGCGGCCGGCCGTCCTCGGGGACGAGGTAGAAGCTGTCGACGAGGGGGGACTCCTTCTCGCGCTTCTCGACCCGGAACCGCCGCCAACCTACCCACTCGCCTTCCTCGCTGTACATCTCGGCCTCGCGGTGGATGAAGACGCTGGCGAGCTGGTTGTAGGCTGCGGTCCAGGCTTCGGCGATGCCGGGGGTCAGGGCCGGGCCGAGCACCTCGGCGATGGCGCCCAGGAGGTGCTTGCCGACGATGGGGTACTGCTCGGGGAGGACGCGGAGGCTGACGTGGCGCTGGGCGATGCGCTCGACGGCGGGGCTGAGGGCACCGAGGTCGTCGATGTGCTGGGCGTAGGAGAGGACGGCGTTGGCAAGGGCGCGGGGCTGGTCGCCGCTGTGTTGGTTGGCCAGGTTGAAGATGTTGCGTAGTTCTGGGTGGGCGGAAATCATGTTCTTGTAGAAGAGGGTTGTGATTCTCGTGCCTTGTTCTTTGAGGATGGGTGCCGTCGATTTGACGATGGCAGTTTGGGCCGCCGAGAGAGCCATGCTGGGCGAATGTTGTATGATTTGTGTCCGCACTGTGGTGTTCTACTCGGTATAGAGCGTGGCTAGGGCAGATTGGGTGTGCAGTGTCTGATATCTGAATAGGGGTCCTGGGTTCTCGAATGGCCGTTATGGGTCATGGCCTCGGGGGCTCGAGGTATTTATCTGCGGCGAAGAGCACGAGAAAGTCGGTGGTTGTCCTCTGACTCCACTCTAATTATGCTGTCACGGCTTAGTATCCTTCAAATTTCTTTCTGGCACGATGCGCTGATTTGCATCTCCGCGGCCCTTCAATTGAACAAATCGGTCTTCGGTGCCGGGGCGGGCCGCTACCAATCGCACCCGGGCAGCCCCGGCCCCCGGAACTACAGAATTAGCAACTGAGGACATGTCTTCGCCTCCCATTCCTTCTTTTCTACACGTCTGTCCTTCCAAATTTCTTTTCTTTTTCTTTTTTTTTTTCTTTTTTTTTTTTTTGTTTTTCAAGTAAGCTTAATCTCGAGGATCCAAGGGTCAAAGGCAGATAGATGGATATCTTTATCGAGACGCAGCTGCCAACACATGTCAGCTGCAACCCGTATCTCGGATCGACAAGTTGACTTCCCAACTCCCTCATCAGACACACCACATGTGAGGAAAAGCCATTGGCTGATAATTAAGATGCTGCCGATGAATTGAATACTCACTTGGATTTCCCTCTTCACAATGTTTTGTTTGAGCGCAAACGCGCAAGCCGGTTATCGAAGGTGACCAGAGAATTCAATAATAGAGGAGCCGCGGAAATGCGAGACTCGAATCTTCGTCAGCATCGGGCCATCTCGGAACAAGGAAGGCTGTGGACGTTTTCATGACAAAACATGGCTTCATAAAGTATGAAGCTTCTACCTTGCGGCGAATCAAATGAGAACTTAGTCTCTGGGTCGGGCTACTCCGTATTTATGTGTCGTTCGTTTCTGTTTTCTCATCAGGCTTCTCGGCATTCGGTCTGGATAAAATGCGCCCAAACCTTACGTAATCCACTTTCGTGTGCGTTTCGAAGATTATGATTGGCTCTTAGGGCTTCGGGGCATGGAGGCCGGAATTGCCATCGTTCCACTCCACTAACTGTCCGTGCGCTGGTCCCTGCATGAGCCCCATAATAAGTGAGAATACGGAGGACGCGTGCCGTAATTACACTGGCATCATCAACGCTGTGTTTTTAAGCCAAGGGGAAAACCCCTAACAATCTTGCCCCTTTAATACCGACGGACAGTCGTACTTTATATATACAGAAGGCCCTCATTTTGCCCCAAGGTTATCCCCAGATTTCTGGCTCGTTGAAGTGAATCGCTTCTTCTTAAACACAAACAAAAACGCATATCCATCGCGCAAGTCGCCCAGCGGTCATCCACTCTCCTCTCTAACTCGCTTCAACTGACTCGCTTCAAAGCCTCAGATATTTCCTTCGGAGTCCTGGGCATTCTCGTCTTTACACCGGATGCGAGTCCCCACCTCTGCCGTCGTCCAGGCTGTAGAGGCGCCCGCGGGTCCTTGCGAACTTGTTGTGGCTGATAGGAGAGCACTTTATGGTCTCCATGACATGTTGCCTAGAGTCTAGACCTGCAGGCGTTCAAAGCCCTCGACTAGTCTTTTCACTGTCTATTCGACTACTGACACTGAACTCTTATGTTACGTCTTCTCTTTCCAGGCCTTTGCGAAGTGATATTTGAGTAAATACATGTTTGTGGGGACAGTGGGGGTATCGCGCAGAGTTAAGGCCTCGGGGCCCTCACGTTCCAACAGTACGAGCACATCATATACCTGAAGCGATCTACTATTGTAGCGCGCCCAATCGTGAACCAGAAGCATGTGAGGTCGAGGTTTAATATACGAATAACTTGACTTTCGTATTCATTGTCCCTCGCTCACATACGGACGCTAAGTGCGCAGAAGAGCTACATTGACTCAGTGCAGGGCTGCAAGCTAATATAAGGAATACAACCGCTGAAAATTGGCCCTAGAAGTTCTCGTCGAGCCGCCCAAGGGTTGCTCAACTTGCTCCTGATTGTTTACTGAACGCGAAAAGGTAGTCTGATTGCAATTACCGCGATAACATGAAATCAATCCATGCTTGTTGCTTTTATCTGTACTCCGTAAGATGCTGATTGTGAACCAAAACGTGGACGTAAGGTAAGTAGGCTGCAGCCATCCGAGTTCATATTCAGGGGCAGCCCATCGGCCCGATCCTCTTACCACGGATCCGGGACACGTGGAGCAGGTGCGGCCCCGGAAAGAACCCAAGGCAGCACTATGAGTCCGTGACAGCTGAGCTAGACATGCAGGGACACAAATTGAGGATCAACAGGGTAGATCGGAGACGACGGAGAGGGACGGTCGTTCACAACTCTCTAGGGGGTTCGTCCTCGAGACATGCAAGCCTCTAATCAGAGTCTCTGGGACATTCTTATGTAGTTTGTAGAAAGCATTGTACACAGTACACGAGCCCATGTGAGAGAGGCTATATACCTAGAGAAGCACGGTCTGCACTTCGGAGGAACAACCGACCTGGCTTTGGGAATTTTGACTGGTCCTTATAGATATCTCTGCCCGCATTCTTCTGCTTGAAGTAGGCAGCATAATCAATTAATAGCTGCAGGTCTTCACCTGCCAGCCGTGGTCTGGACTCTGGACTCTGTGAGACTGGGGGTTGATATTGGAGTTGCCGTATCAGGTAAGGAACGGGAAAAGAAAAGGCCAAGGTGCTAACGATTATCGGCATTGCGAACCCGGTTCAACAGCCGAGTGGTGGCGCCTTGATGGTGTTGGCAGTACCACAGATGTCTCTATCAGCTGGGGGAGACTTGCGGACATGGGGTTGATTCTTGAACGCGGTCTACGAACTTCCATCCCAAACTTGTCGCTGGGGGAAAAGCTTAGTACCTTCCCGTTACGGCAATCTCTCCGCGGTGCCGACGAAGAGCGCGTGCTCCATAAGGCAAGCGAAGTACTCTGCGGGTATCTCGTCACGCAAACTGGGGTATGTGGATACAAGATTGAGCCTTTCTTGGACGGTACATATCCGTTCGGCAGCGTTTGGTCGCCGCCCCGCCCCTTATCGAAGATGGAACACGTCACCGGATTGTCCAATAGGCGCCCATCAAATTACCCCACCCTTGCAAGCTGAGGAAGAAGCTCACCAATCCATACAACTGTCCCGTCTCGTATTCAATTGTCCTCCTGCCCACTTCTCACCAGCACCTGTTTATATTGACCGCGCCTACCTTACACACCTACCTACCTACCTAGTCGGCCGAGGCAAAAACACCGACCCAAGTCGGCGCATAACGCGCCCCTCAACTATGCACTGCACCGTTACCCGCCAAGATCTCGGGGCCTCTGAAGACTTCTCTCCACGCCGGCAGCCCCGCTTCGACCTCTCTTTGCACCTGCCCTGAGGAGCGTAGCCCGTACCAAATAGCATGGCCACCTGCCCGCGCGCGTTCCATGCATCGCCACCGAGATCCCTCTTCCTTTTCTCTCACGGCACCCTATCTTTGATGCCGTACATATGTTGATGGAGTCACTGAACCCGGTCGTCGCGTCATCCCCACCAACAGGCCTGGGGTCTGAACTCTGAAGGTTGTCGAACTGACTCGAACAGCTCCCTCTCCACTTCTATTATCCTGTGACTGGTCAGGAGTCAGGACAGGGTTGTTTCCGTGAGAGCACGAGCCCTGAGGCGTCGGTATAGCAAGCACAGGCAATATGTTTGCATGTGTCTCACGTAGTATCGGTAGCATAGCATGCAGGTAACGTATATATCTGCAGACGATCGCCCTCCACGTCTTCTCGAAGGTTTCTTCCTTCTCCAGGAGTCTCCCTTTCCCCCTCTAACTAGTTGGATTTCATCGTTGGATTCGGTGACGTCTCCTCTCCATTCAGCCCTCCTCGCCATGAAGACAACCTCGTCACTTGCCGCCGGCCTATGGGCCCTGGGCGCCTTTGCCAGAAATCCGCTGACGCCTGAGAAGGCCGTTGAGGACATCAAGACACAAGAGTATGCATCTCTTCTCCTCTGACCGCTTCGTCTTGGAACCGAGTAACTGATAACTGACCCTCTACAGACTCCAACGCAACCTCTGGAATTTCAACAAAATCGCCCGCGACAATGGCGGCAACCGTGCCTTTGGCCTTCCCGGCTACGAGGCCTCGTCCGACTACGTGCTGGAGCGTGCCCAGACCCGGTTCCACACGACCATGGACACGTGGAAGCAGTACTTCAACCACACCTTCACCCGGATCAACGACATCTCCGTCACCGGGCCCGAGGGAGAGGACGTCGTCGTCATCGCTCTGACCTACAACCCGGCCACGCCGGCCGAGGGCATCACCGCGCCGCTGATCGACACGCCCGTCGACGACGCGCGCGGCTCCGCCTGCTTCGAGGACCAGTGGGAGGGCATTGACGCCACCGGCCGCCTCGCCCTCGTCAAGCGGGGCGCGTGCGCCATCTCCGACAAGCTGAAGCTCGCCAGCGCCCACGGCGCCCTCGGCGTCATCCTCTACAACAACTCCCCCGGTAACGCCATCACCGCCGCCACCCTGGGCCGCGAGAACATCGGCCTGCTGCCGCCCGTGGGCACCATCCCCCTCGAGGTCGGCACGGCCTGGTCTGCCCGTCTGCGGGGCGGCGAGGAGCTCGTTGTCAAGCTCTATGTCGACGCCGTCTTCGAGGACCGCGAGACGTGGAACATCATCTCCGAGACCAAGGAAGGCGACCCCGACAACGTCATCGTCCTCGGCGCCCACCTGGACTCGGTCCAGGCCGGCCCGGGCGTGAACGACGACGGCTCCGGGTCGGGCGCGCTGCTGGAGATCATGGGCTCGTTCAAGAAGTACACGGGGTTCAAGAACAAGGTCCGCTTCATCTGGTGGGGCGCCGAGGAGTCCGGCCTCATCGGCTCGCTGTACTACACCTCGACCCTGCCCGAGGAGGAGGCCGACAAGATCCGCTTCTACTTCAACTACGACATGATCGGCTCCATCAGCCCCAAGTTCGACGTCTACCAGGGCCGCAACCCGGGCGACGCGTACGGCGCGGCCCTGCTGCAGGAGTACCTCCTCGAGGAGGGCTACCCGGCCCAGCTCGCCCCCTTCGGCACCGGCTCGGACTACGTCGGGTTCATCAACATCGGCGTCCCCTCGTCCGGCCTCCACACCGGCACCCCGCCGTTCGACCCGTGCTACCACCTCGCGTGCGACGGCATCGACAACATCAACTGGGACGCCTACACGGCGAACGTCAAGGCCGCCGCGCGCGCCGCTGCCATCTTCGCCAACGACCTGAGCGGCGTCCCGCCCCGGTCCAGGACGACGCCTGCCAAGCGGGACTTTGCGTCCGTCCGTCGCGAGTTTGAGCGCTGGGCTGCCATTGCTGAGGAGGCGGAGCATGGCCACTCTTGCGGCGGGGAGCATGGTTCCAAGAACACCATCTAGTTAAGTCGAGTTTATGAGGTAGCATGTGTGTGGTAGAGAGATCAAGTAGTACATGGCATAACAAATCTAGGATATCATGTCAATGCCAAATTTGAAAAAGAAAAAAAAAAGGGAAAAACTCCATGTCCTGCAATGAACAAAGACAAAGCCCACAAATCAAACCTCCCGTTGCGCCGTACTCATCAACTGTCATTATTCTTCTCGTCCAGGCAGATGCACAAGGCGCACATAAGAGCCATGTCGACCCCCGGTGCCACGACAAGGGCATACGTTTGCTGGCCGCCCAGCCACTCGCGGGCGTTGAGCAGTTTCCGGTCGATCCGAGCGACGACGGCACCGGATGACTCGTCCACGATGTCGGCACTGGTGTCAAACCAGTTGCCCCCCATGACGAGGGATTGAGGCTTTCCTGTGCCGGTGGAGGTGAAAGTTGCGTTGGCCTTGGACCCAAAGACTAGGTAAGGTCGCAAGTCAGCATGATATGTATCTCTACATAGCGGACCCGCTCCTCTACGAACAGCGAACATGACGCTTTCAGACCAACGTACATTTGAACGCATTCCTGACTTGCATAATCTTCACTTTCTTTTCCACATCCTCGACAACGTAGGTCGTGTGTAGAAGATGCAGGTGCTCCTTGTATATGTCGAACAGGTAACGGCCAGACATGTCGAAGACCTTTTTCCTGCCGCGCAGGGAGAGGACATTGCCGTCGACGCGGATTAAGGGGTTCCCGGAGGCGAGCTTGATGTCGAAGCTGTCGCCGCTGAGGGAGAGGACCTTCTCCTTGAGGATAATGGTCTCGGTTTGTTTCGCGATGTACCGGTCGAAGACACCGATGGGTTCGGGCATCGGGTTCATCTTCACCGTCGCAATGGCTTGCGAGAAGGCGTACCCAAGATCGTGTTGGTGACTGGACTGCATTGTGGGCTGGGTCGCGGACTCGCGGGGACTCGGGAGAGGATATCGAGGTCTGGGTGTCCCTCAAGATGGTCGAGGACTCGAGGTTAGTGACGGTGTGACCGACTCATCTGAGACAGAGGAGAGGAACAAGAGGACTTTTATTTATACTGGCTTCATATGGTGGTGCAACGGGTTTAGTTCCAGTGACATGCCGGGATTTGAAGATCCAAGAGGGCAGTGTAAGAACAAAGGATGAGGGCGTGACTGGATAAGGTAAGGTACCTTACCTGTTAGATGGCGGTCAGCAGTGTGAGTACTGATACCGAGAGGCTGAGTCAGGTACCTACAGTCAGCAGCCAGGGTGTCCAAAGAAAGAAGCGTTCTACACTATGTGATCCTTTAAAGTGTTTCGGTCCTTTTGATCCGGGTGCATATGTAGACATGAACTCCGTAGGGCTGTGGCAACGACTTCAATAACCACCAGACCACCCACATAGCCGGGTACACCGCCACTGATTGAACCATTGGCTGATCGGCTTCGTCTCGTCCATTCACCTGAGCCATAGGCCTGGACAGCCGCACTGGTGCCTTGCCTCCCCTGTTCGCTATGCTGGCCGCAGGACAAGGGAGTAGCTAAGCTATTTTAGCATACGGCAATCCCTGTCGCCAAGGTGATATGAGCCGAGGCGCGAGATATGCGCAGGGGATGAGATGAGAAAGCAGGCGAGATGTTGGAGTTGGGTTGAAGACGGTTTGTGAACTGCCTTTTATTTTCCATTTTGTTTTTCTACAAAATATTCCATGGATCAAGGTTCTTCGAGCTGGACGGACACCGGACCAGGACTAAAGAAATCTAACAAACGGTGAAAGCAAAAGGCAAAAAGGCAAAAAAGAATGGACGAATTGGGAATTGAACCCAAGACCTCCCGCAAATTACAGTCGGCAGGTAATGCGAAGCGGGCGCTCTACCCCTGAGCTATACGCCCCTCGGATGATCACTAAGCCCTCTCGACGTCGCTTAGATTCCTAGTCCTGGACTTGGCCCTACTGTACAACGTACAGGTGTAGGGCTGTGCACGCCTCTCTGTGGGGCTGTACCGAGTCCCCTACGTTGCACGGATTATTAGCGGCTAAGCACACGCTAACCGCCTGTGATTATGTAAGGTAGTGTGTACAGCGTACTTGATCCTTTTCACTCTTAGGTAGTACGTAGCTCCTTTACCTACTCCTACGGAGACATCATTCATCATCCTCATCTTCTCATTCCCATCAGCCCAGCTCCGGCGCGGCACCATGCGACGAGGACAGCGCCGACCACCGGGAAATGCTGAGTGGATCGAAATACGGAACCTCCCCGAGTCCTACTGCCCGGTTACCAAACCGCTCACCCTCCTCGTCATAATCGAACGTTGCGGTATGGAACACGCTCCGGTTATCCCAGATGGCTTTTCATGTTGCCCCAACAAGTCAGCAACAGACCAACGACATAGCCATCCTGGACCAAAAAGCCGAAGAGAGGAAAATGGGGAAGATGAGAGAAAATAAGAGAAAAGTCGAAGTGGAGCGGCGCTGCGGCACTCACCAATATCGTTCTCGTTCTGCCACTTCAACCGCACCTGCAGGTCGTGACCCTTGTACACAAGGTCCAGGAACCAGTCGAGCAGGTGCTTGCTCTCCTCCGCCGTCACCCCGTTGATGTGCTTGACGTGGCCTCCCACGGGGAAAACGCTCTTCCACCCCGTGATGGGGTTGGTCCGGATGACCGGGTGGACCGCCTTGAGCTCGCGGCCCACGTTCTCTGGCGCGCCGCGGGGCCCTTCGTGGAGCTCGAAGCCGGCCCGTTCCGCCACCTGACGGAACGCCGCCTGCTCGAACGTCGCCGTCAGGCTCGCGAGGAACTTTTGGTACGGCTCGCTGATGCGGTCGTAGATTTCGTATCCGGAAGCCCATAGCGTGTCTGTTCGATGCCAGTTCAGTCAGCATCGAACCGTCAGGTCCGGCAAAAAAAAAAAAAAAGGCAAGAGACGATGGAGGACGTACCGCCACCCGTCCTGGGCAGCTGCGTCAACCGCAGCGACGAGAAATCTGCCGGCACCGGCTCGAACGCAATGTCGCTGTGCCACTGCGCCGTCGACTGCTTCTTGGGGCTGGGCCCGCCTACCCCGGGCTTGCGGTAGAGCTTCTTATGCTGCACCGAGCTGATGGTGCTAATCTCCGGGTCGTTGCCCCCCAGCTCCCGCTCCGAGTTGAGAATGGGGTGGATATGCAGGCCCGACGTCTCGGGGCGGCCTGTCAGTTCGCCGAGTCGGAGGATGAGCTTCTTCTGCAGCTCGTTGGTAAGATCGTTCTGCGCCCGGAAGAAAACCACGCCTCTTTGTGCGACTATTGTGTGGGCTCTGGTTAGCTCTGGCTTTCCCACTGCGAGCTGGCCCATGGACCATCCTCCTCCATGGAGGTTTCCTCACTGGTAATAGCCAAGTCGCGGATGAGTTCGTCCGAGTTGGGTGCCTCGAGCCATTCCACGAGGTTGGCCTTTGGAAACTCGCGCCCGATGGCGGGCGTCACATCAAAGTGCTCATAGCTATCCAGCACCCCGGAGAGCTTCAGAGGTTCTCGGCGAACGCTCCTATTCTTCGTCTGGATCGGGACGTCGCCGTCGATTGCTGAGGGGGCCATTGTGATGTGATACCCTGAATTTTCGTGGGTGGCAGTTGTTGTTCTAAGGGATATTTCTCAAACTACTGATGCAAGGCGCAACTATTCTGCAATATCGAGCTGTCCGTCTCGTTTTATAACGAGGTTGTCCAGAGGAGTCGAACAGTCGAACTACTCCGAGAGAGTAAATCACGATTCACCAGACCCCTCCGATATTTGGGCGCAGTATCGCCCATGCGCCGACCGAAACGCTTCCGCATCACATTATTACGGGCTTACCCCGCCTTGGGATGCTATTTTCGTATTTCCTTTGGTCGAAGTTCCCCGAATGAGCTGCCGCGAGGGTGGCGGCAATGTGCGACTCGATTTCGTGATTGCCGTTCGATGGTCTCAACACCCCGGATTGCGTACTTCTGGGCTGAATGGTGTCATCCTCTACATGCCACACTCTTACTGCCGCGGTGCCCGGACATAATCACACACATCTGCGGGGCGATATCATCCAAAGAAAGAATGACAACATTCAAATGACATGGCACGCCGCTACCAGATATCAGTTCACCCGCCCTATGACGGTTCGCTTTCACGGAGCTCGTCTGTCCCTCTTTTCTTGGGATTACAGCAATGGTTGCCTCATGCCCTATCTGTCTCGCGTCAGACGCATCGTCAATGACGACGAGCATGTGACAACACTGTCAAGATACGCCAGGGGTTGGGTTGTCCTTGTGTATGTCTGCTCTAGCCCATGACCTGACCATGCTGCGTGTTAGCAACTGTGAAATGACTTTGTAGAATTCATGCTAAAGGACCTGATAGGATTCAGCGTCTCGGCCATTCGATCCTCGTGTCTAGTCTCTTGCCTGCTTGGAAGGCTGATTACCGGTTGACGCGCAGAGCACCGGTGTCAGGGGCGTTGTCACGTCATTCTTCATTATCACTCTCACCGCCGGCGTATTCGGGTTCCTGCTGATGCCGCCTGGGCCATGCCAGACAGCTAGCTGGTTCCGAGGCAAAAAAGGTTGGTTTACAGAACGGTAAGATATCACTACTCATGTATCCCAATCGTAAGTCCCTACACCGTGCCCTTTCAAGATTCCCTTTTGGCCCCTCAGAACCCAGCTGACGTGCCATCCTTTCCCAACCTCTCCCGGTTTGTAGCCCATCCCATTCAAGTCGGCTGGAACTCGCGTAATTCAAACACAGTCCGCTCCCGCACCGTTTCGGCAGCATGCTATAACATGTTCGTCCAAGCCAGCGGCATCATATCCTCCAACATCTACCGCCAGGGTAAGTTAAACATTGGACGCAACCCCCGTTTTCTCCGTCCAAACCTTGGGGGTACAGGGGGTAATAAACGTGCGCACTTTACTTGTGGAATGTCACCAAACTTAGACGACAGCACCCCTTTACCGCCGGGGCAACAGATACCTCCTCGCCATCGCCATTGGCGACATAGCACTCTATGTCCTCGTCAAAGCCTACTACGTTGCGCGGAACCACTCGCGGGATCGCAAATGGGACGCCATGACCGAGGACGAGAGGCTCAAGTACCTTCAATGCTACCACGACGGACGAGGGGAACAAGAGGCTTGATTTCCGCTTCTCGCACTGAAACAATGGAGCAATGGGACAATGGTCGTAACATCTGCGAGTATGGATACATCATTCGTATCCTCTCACTTCCCACTCCACCCTAGAAGATGAATCTCATTCAAGCCCTCAGCCTAATATGCACGAACGAAGATGGGTATACCGTATACATGGAATGTTTCCTTCTCCCACATAAGAGTCGTGTGGTCACGTTCTCGTTCTACTTCTGCATTAATACGCAGCGGTACTCATAGTTATTATAGCATCATCATGGTATACGACATAGATATCTACCCTGAAATGATTATCTCTCATGCGCACTTGATCAGTAAACCATAAGATGAGCTTCAGAGCCCCTTTTTCAGCATGAATGTCCCGACTATACTAATACCTCGGGTTTGGCCGTTACTGGCCTCTCACTGACCCAAGTAGTACTGTAATATCATTGTTCCAGAAAAAACGTCGTAGGTGAATAGAACATGGAAACTCAAAGAAAATAAATTGAATGACTGACGCTGTGTCCCCTCGCTAGAGTTCTGGGGTATTATACAAAATATATGTGTGTGCCATGGCCTTTCTATGCCTCCATGAAGATCCAGTCCTCTCTATCATTACAATTTCATAGATCCCAATCTGTATAATTCTTAAGAATACGCGCTTACGTCTCCTGTTTTACATGGCGAGGGCAACGGCTCCAGCAGCGACGCTGGCCAGTAGAGTCCATCCGCTAGCACCCAGACGGGGAGCTGCATCGACAAGAACGGGCCCGGAGGGCTCCGCAGCGCCCGGGGGAGTGAAGGTAGCAGTGACGAGTGTGTCGTTAATAATAGTCGAGAAGCTGGGCAGCGATGGAGGGGGAACGGGAGGGAACGGCGAGACGGACGGCACCGGGACAGGCTCTTCGGGTTGATCGGGCTGCTCTGGTACATCTGGCTGCTCAGGTGCTCCGGGGTCCTCAGGCAGACCGGGCTGACAGGGTTGACCGGGGTCGCCGGGTTGACCTGGCTGGCAGGGCAGTTCGGGCTGCTCAGGGTCTTCAGGCTGTTCGGGCTGCTCAGGCTGTTCGGGCTGCTCGGGCTCACCGGGTTGACAAGGTTGGCCAGGTAGACCCGGTTGACCTGGTTCGCAGGGTGGGCCGGGCTGTTCGGGCTCTTCAGGTTGTTCAGGAGTTTCTGGCTGCTCAGGCTGTTCTGGCTGTTCGGGCTGTTCAGGAGTCTCGGGCTCTTCAGGAGTCTCAGGCTGCTCAGGAGTCTCGGGCTCTTCAGGAGTCTCAGGCTGCTCAGGAGTCTCGGGCTCTTCAGGAGTCTCAGGCTGCTCAGGAGTCTCGGGCTCTTCGGGAGTCTCGGGCTGCTCAGGAGTCTCGGGCTCTTCGGGAGTCTCGGGCTGCTCGGGAGTCTCGGGCTCTTCGGGAGTCTCGGGCTGCTCGGGAGTCTCGGGCTCTTCGGGAGTCTCGGGAGTCTCGGGCTGCTCAGGAGTCTCGGGCTCTTCAGGAGTCTCAGGCTGCTCGGGCTGCTCAGGAGTCTCGGGTTGTTCAGGCTCTTCAGGTTGACAGGGCTGGTCAGGTTGACCTGGTTGACAGGGTGGACCAGGCTGTTCGGGCTGTTCGGGAGTCTCTGGCTGTTCAGATTCTTCGGGTTGACAAGGTTCGCCAGGCTGACCAGGTTGGCAGGGTTGACCGGGCTCTTCGGGCTCAGGTTCACCAGGCACAGGCGTCTCTGGTTGTTCAGGCTCTCCGGGTTGACAGGGCTGGTCAGGTTGGCCAGGTTGACAGGGCGTGCCAGGTTGTTCGGGCTCGGGCTGTTCGGGCTCGGGCTGTTCGGGCTCGGGCTGTTCGGGCTCAGGCTCCTCAGGCTCAGGCTGACCAGGCCCACCGGGTTGTTCGGATTCCTCCGGCTGGCCGGGTTGACAGGGCTGGTCAGGTTGGCCAGGTTGACAGGGCGTGCCAGGTTGTTCCGGCTCGGGCTGTTCGGGCTCGGGCACCTCAGGCTCAGGCACCTCAGGCTCAGGCTGACCAGGTCCACCGGGTTGTTCGGATTCCTCCGGCTGGCCGGGTTCACAGGGCTGATCAGATTGGCCAGGTTGACAGGGCGTGCCAGGCTGTTCAGGCTCTTCCGGGGTCTCGGGCTGTTCGGGTTGGCAGGGTGAATCGGGTTGACCTGGTTGACAAGGTTGCTCGGGCTCCTCGGGGGTTTCTGGAGGGGTTTCTGGTTGTTCAGGCTCTTCGGGCAGCTCAGGCTGTTCTGGCCCTCCGGGAGAAGGCCTGGGGGTCTCGGTGACCGGAATCTCCGTGGTTGTCTCGATAATCTCAGTCTCAACGGTGGTCGTGGGTTCACCGATAGCACAATCGGGCACCTCGGGGGCGCACGACGTGATGGTGTCGATGACCGTCTTGGAGATAGTGATGGTGGTCGGCACGTCGGTGACGGGACAGACGGTGGTCGTCTCGACGACAACGACAGTCGTCCTGGTCACACCGCTGCCAGGACACACATCTCCGACGTCTGGCGGGCAAGAAGTGATGGTGCTCGTGATGGTCTCTGAAATGGTCAAGGTCGTCAAGCGCTCACTTGTGACGATGGGGGACTCGCCCTCGGCGCCGCTGCTAGGAGGCGGGGTCGGGGCGGGGGGGACACCGCCCTCGATGCTACTCGAGATGGGGAAATCGTCGGTCTCGGAGGGAGCGGGCTCGAAACTGACGAGAGAGGTCGTCTCTTCGACAGGATTTTCGGGTTCCTCGGGCTCCTCGGGCTCCTCGGGCACTTCTGTGGGAAGAGGAAACTCGGAAGAAATGGACAGGGAGTCAACAGGCTCCGGCACCGGCTCTTCCGGTTCCCCCGAAGGCACGGGAAGTGGAGGGACGGAGGATGGTTCAATCGGCTCGGGCTGGGGCTCATCACTGCCCTCAGTGAGCTGATAAATCTTGATAGAGCGGACCTGGAAGTAGCTCTTCTTGAAGGCCGTCGGATTCTGGGCGACGAAGGCGTGGCAGGAAGACTCCCCCGTCTCGGCTTCGCATTCGTCCCAGTGCCCCTCATGACCGGCAACTCCGCAGAAGTTGATATTCATCATGACCCGAGCGTCGTCGAACAGGCTGCTGACCTCGCAGTCACCGGTAGAGAAGCGTGGCGTGCCCCAGGTGGTGGGGTCGGGCCTGCCTTCGAGAAGGTCGGAGGGGGTGTTGTCGTGGGTGAAAGCCCAAATCTTGACATGAGAGTCTGTCCACTCCATGGCGTAGACGCCGCCCTTCTTGGAGGCATAGGGCGGCTCGGAGTCCAAGGCGGCGCAACCAGTACCAGGGGTCTGGCCGGGAGCAGTGGGCGAACAGTTGGGAGTCTGCATATTGGAAGTCATCCCGTCGGAGCTGATGGTGCATTCGCCGATGCTGGAATCGGTGTGCATAACGAAGCGGTTGGCCGAGTCCAGGTTCCAAGCCTCGTAGATGTCGATCTCGCCGCCCGTGGGCCAAGGCTTGCCGAAGGTCCAGCTAGGTGGTAACAATATACATTTAGCTATGGCCCCATAGCATGGCTGCTGTCCTGCAGGCAAATTTCGAACAAGGAAACTGGAGAGGGCTTCGAACGGGAGCGAACTTACAAGGCGGGCCAAGTCCCACAGGCGGGCTTCGGGAAGTGAGTGAAGTCGCCTACGAAGAGACCCGTCTTGTAGGTGGATTTACTCTCGAGGCGGACACTGGCACGACCGATACCCTGCGGGTCGAGGACGGATCTCGAGTCGACACCAAGGTAGAAGTCTTCTCCGACAGTCTTGGTAAGACCGAGCTCCTGAGCTTCGGCAAGACCCTTGTAGCTGACGTAGCCACTTGTCGGATCGACATCATTGTAGTCGGGGGACGAGTGGTCACTCTGTGAGAGGGGGGTTAGGAGGCCGGCAGTCCGCATTGATAGCTCAAGGTAGGGGAGCAGGTTGAGGACATACCGTAAAGAAGCCGAACTTGTCGATGAAGTTGGAAGAGTCGTAGGTGTCTACCAATTGGTATGGCTGGGTATTAGTGGCGGCGGCTGTAGAGAGAAGGGCGGCCGAGATGAGGGCGGCAGAAAAGAAAGAGGGTGCCATGGTCCGGCGGCAGCGTCTGCTTCTGTGTGTATTGTGTCTTGTGTCCGTCCGTATGAGTCTGGAGACGATGATGGGTAGGTCTTGGTTTATAACGAGTGTGTGGAATCGAACGCCAAGGACACCTGAGAATGAGGACAGTGGCTTCCGGAGCCGACGGACCTGTCCTTTGTGTTGTGTTCTGTTCTGTTCTTTGTGTTCTTTGTGTTCCTTGGTAAATCAGTCAAATCCAACCAGAGTAAACGGAGGAGAAGAAAAGAGAAATAAACAGGTCAAAGAAACGCTCCAAGAATGACTGCGTAGGAAGGAATAAGAAACGGATGGATAAGAGGAAATGAAACTTGGAGACGACAAAGAGCAGTCTCAAATAGGGACGAGAGGCGGTAAAAAGAATGGACGGCACGGGTGGGAAGCGGCAAGCTGGCGGATATATTTGACCAAGTTATTATTATGTATTGGTTATCCGGCGGCAAAAGAGAAGCAGCATCTCGTGTACGTGTGCCTGGCCCCAGTTGGGGTTCGCATGTGGATGTGGATCTGCTGGTCTTCGTTGGATCACCGTTCAGGTCTCAGGTCGCTGGGGTCGCTGAGGTTGCTTCGGCGGCATCGACGGCGATCCGGGTCAGGGCGGTTCGGTTCGGAGAGAAAACGGGAGGCTAGGGTGCTAGCCCAGCGGAAAGCAGCTCTCTTGGGCGAATAATGGAGAGCCAGACCCGCCATAACAGGAACAGGACAGGGGTGGCCCACAACCATCCACCCGATCGAGGTGGGTATTCCCGTAGGGTTCTAGGCTTCGGGCAACTTCATCGAATCATCTCGGGGCGTCGACATCGAAGCGAAAGTTTGTGGAGCATCTGCGTACTTCGTAGGTCGAAGGACCGGCGAGGTTGATGTTGATAGCAGGCAACATCATACGGCCATGACCACGCTCTCTCGACATTGTTGAATGGGCCAAATACGGCGTCGTCCTTTTTCGTCTTTCGCTCTTTGGGCCTCATTTGCCTTCTTTTGGCTGGGTGTGGCCCCTGTCGGTGGGAGAGCGTGGTCTAGATGACTGACGGATGCCTTAGTTTGTTTCATCGAGATGTTTCATCGGCAGATGATTGGTGTTGATGAGTTGGTGAAGAAAAACGTTTCAAGCGCCCACGATGCAAAGGTGAGTAGTCAGGTATGAGCGTTAGGTAAGAGGGGAAAAAACAGAGTAGAGCTGAGACTGAAAGCGAGTCGCGATTTCCCTATCACCTGTACTCCACTTTAACCTAGGAAAGAACGACAGCGAACAGAAGGAGGGACCGTTGATATGGCCCCACCTTACTAAGGATCTTCAGGCGCTTGGCAGGGGGGTGAGCACTGAGGGAATATGGACGCGTTTCATAGTGGATCTCTTGTCGCGCCCCGGATCACTTTTAGCGCCCTGTCTACACCAGGCGAACGGCGCGTATGAGGTACACGTAGGTATTCATAGATCCTTCTCGGCAAACGGAAGAAGCAACTGCAAGCGCAAGTGACGTCTTGTCGGGCGAGCCGCTCTTTGCTTCTCAACGCGAAGACCTCTCGGTTTACATTGCGTCCGTGTCATTAAACACAGAACATTCCAACTAATACGGCCACCCGAAGCAAGCACCTACAAGCTACGGAGATTACTTCGTACAACCGTCCATCGTTCGTATCCGTACACGGTACGGCAACCGGAACGGCCCACCAACCGGCCCCGCAAACCGGCTGTAGTATGTACCGGGTGCCGTTCGCGGGCCGCGGCCTCACCTGCCTAAGGTACCTTACCTGAGTACCTACTTGAGCAGGAAAGTACCTTATACTTCGTCCCTATCGGCCTCTGAACGCCTGTCCCCGTGTCCAAACCTCCGAAGTGTTATAAGGTACCTGTAACCTACCTTTGGTATCCAATTCCAATGTCGTGTACTTGGTGCCAAGGTAACCCATGCGGCAATGCCATGAGTATACCAATACCTCGACTATATCTTTACAGTCTTACTGCTGCTGCTGCTGGGTTTGCTCCAGTGATCCATGAACCATTTAGATATACCTTATCATTGCACTTAATTACATCTTCAGCCAGTCTTCAGCCAGCCACTTAATGCTGCATGTCTCAAGGCAAGGCAGGTAGTTGATCAAGGCATCATACCATGAGCTGTCGATCGTTGCTCAAAAAGAAAAAGAAAAAGAAAAATCCGGCCGTTGAGCAAGTGATGTCTCACGAGAATCCATCTTGGGATAAGAGCTTAGAGCTCCTGATAAAGTCTGTCGCTCATTCATTCCACCACACCGTGTCTCTGCGCTAAACCCCAATACATCAACGTCACCGACTCGTGGCCACCCGCTTGTGACTTGACCTTCGCAACTTATCGCAAGAGCCAGCCTATGTGCTTGTGCTCTTCCAGAGTCCTTCGTATTTCATCTCCCAGACTCTCTCCTCATTTGCGTTTTTCTACGTCCTTTTCTCCTTCGTGGAATCGTGGCTATCCTCGTCATCCCCCCAGATTGCGACAGTGGACACCGGCCATGGTCGAAAAGTCGAGCACCACTTCCCCCATAGACGGTCGATCCAGCCACTCCAGCCACTCCAGCCAGAGGCTTGTGCCAGGCAAGGCCAGCACCGCTACTATCGCCGGACTTGCTCTCTCAGCACTCATCTATCTGGGCCCCCTTTCGTCGGGCGGTGTGCATGTGCATCGCCATCGGCCTACACTCATCCGCCACGGCCCTCTTAGCCGTAGCCCAACCGGTTCTGACTGGAATTGGACAAATGCACGTTCAATATTGTGTCTTATTATGTCTATTTCCCTCTCTGTAGTCGACCTTCAGGCTTCCCCTTCCCAGCTGACTCTTTCTGTCCCTTTACAGATCAAACCGAGTCGGACACTAGAATGGCATCCCTGCTTCGATGATGGACGATACGATTGCGCCCGTCTAGATGTTTGTTCTGATTCTCATTCTCATCAACATGCTCGAGCATCTGTCCATAATTGGGCCCAACAGTCGGGCCCGTCCACTAACTCCCAACTTCCCGCCTGCCTCCTCTAGCTCCCCATAGATTGGCAGGACCCGGGTGACCAACGCCGCGTTGTGCTGGCAATTGCTCGCATTCGAGCCACGGACACGAAGGACTACCAGGGCCCTGTCATTTTCAACCCCGGGGTTGGTTGATCTCATCTTATACAGCCCCGTTCCGCTTCACTAACCTTCCTTTAAAGGGGCCCGGTGGCTCTGGAGTATGGTCACTACGGCATCATGGCAAGTATCTGCAAGAGGTTGTGGGTAAAAATCATGTCAGTGCCCCCTCAGTTCCTGACCCTGCACTGCTTGTTGTCTCAAGTGAGACCCTGTCCAGGCTGTCCAGCTATGCAAATTTACCTTTTACCTCTTGCTCAACCCAACAGGACATCATCAGCTTTGACCCTCGAGGTGGTAAGTCGCGGCTTGCCTAGTCCTGTCTCTCTCTCTCTCTCTCTCTCCCCGACTGCTCTCTTCTGGTCTGACACTCACACAACCCGCAGTCGGCGCATCCATCCCAAGAATACAATGCTGGGAGTCCCCTGACGAGGCAAAAGCCTGGGCTCTCCAAGACCCGGGAATCGTTGACTCTCATTCCGGCATCATCTCCGACATGTTCGCCCGCGGCATCGCCTACGGCCAGACCTGCGAGCGCGCCATGGCCTCCTCCAGCATTCTCGAACACTCAGGCACCGCCTCAACCGCCCGCGACCTGCTCGAGATTGTCAACCAGGGATCCCACCCCCACCTCAAGTACTGGGGCTTCAGCTACGGTACCGTCATCGGCGGCGTCTTTGCCGCCATGTATCCCGACCGCGTCGAGCGTCTCGTAAGCGACGGCAACGTCGACTACCAAGAGTGGTTCCTCTTCACCCACCGCAACTTCCTCCACGACACCGACAAGGTCATGGACTCCTTTTACGCCCTCTGCTCCGCCGCGGGACCTGACCGGTGCGCCTTCCATGCCGCGACCTCTGATGCTGTCCAGTCCCGTCTCACAGCGCTCTACGAGGCCCTGAAACTGCGCCCTGTCATCATCGTACCATCGGATAGTGACCGCCGCGGCCCAGTGCTTCCCGCGATCGTGACCTATTCGAAAGTCAGGCGACTCGTCGTGACCTCGCTCTACCAGCCTCTTCTCCAGTTTGAGAAGGTGGCGGCGATTCTTGCTGCTCTCGAGGCCGGCGATGGACGGCCATTCTACGAGCATGACCACCATCCCAACCGCCCGGAAACGCCGCAACTTACATGCCCGTCACACGCTGCATCGCCCTTCGAACCGCTGCCAGACATCCTAGAGGGTACGCACGACGCCTTCCCCGGGATCATGTGTGCTGACCAACCCCCGCGCGGTAACGTGACGCTCGAAGACGTGATGCTGGAGGTGGAGAGGTTTGGCGAGATGAGTTCTGCTTCCGGCGCCGTCGACGCCATGTACGCCGTTGCCTGTCTCGGTCGCAGCATCCGCCCCAAGTGGCGTTTCAACGGTATCAGAAGACCCAATCCTTGCTAGAACCACACAACTCACGGCCTTGATAGTTGATACTAAGTCCTACCTAGGCCCATTCCAGGGGCAAACACGCCACCCCATTCTCTATGTGGCTAACACGGCGGATAATATCACCCCCTTGATCAGCGCTCGAAACAACTCGGCCGGGTTCCCCAGATCTACAGTTTTGGTGCAGAACTCCTACGGGGTGAGTTCCATTGTCATCCCGTTGCTGGCGCAACGACGCCCCGGTAACACGGGTGGAACTTAAGAAAACTGACAGCGGACTTCCAGCATACCTCCCTTTCGGCGCCGTCAGATTGTACAAACGGGTATATCAGGGCCTATTTCCAAAACGGCACGCTGCCCAGCCCAGATACTGAATGTGAAGGGCCGCTGCCTTTTGGGTTAGCGGGGGATGCGAATCTCGAGACATACCACTTTCCTGTGCATATGCCGCGGTTCTAGGTCCAGACTCCAGTCGCAGTAGCAGCACGCACTACCGCAGCGCTCCCACCAAATGAACCGGACTGGTTAATAACTTCTCAGAGTATATTGCAATAGTAGTACTACACTACATTTACTTACTAGTTCTACTCCTCCTTCGTCTCCCCTTTCTCTTGTCGGTGGAGTATCCCCTCTTCAGCCAGCGCCCATGTCACCGCATGTGCCACATCTCGTGCGATCTTAGTAGGAGTATGCGCCGGGAAAGATCCTGGGACAAACACCCCCGTCTCAACAAGAACGCTCTTCCACACCGATCCGTATTTCGATCGGAACGAATTCGCGCCAACTATATCGCTCGCCGGGTTATCTCCCACCATGTAAACCGTACCAATCTCCCCCGGCGAAAGAGTCAGACCACGCAGCACCTTCTCGGCATAGACATACGTGGTCTCCGTCGGCTTCCCGACAACCGAGTACTCCAACTCGGCCTTCCCCGCCGTGGCATGTCTCCAGATACCCTTCAGCGCCTCTCGGAAGGCGCCCTGCGCGAACCGCGGCTGGCGGTGCTCCGTGGCCCACTCAAAGTCGGGGTTGCAGAAATACAACACCGGTTGCTCATCTCGCTGGAAGCCGTGGTTCGGGAGCGAGGCGTCCCCGTTGCGCGGGGACCGGGTGCCCAGGACGCCTCGGGACGAGAGCAGCAAGTCGCATACGAGCTGGAGATCGAGGCACCAGTCTCGCGGACTGCTCCAGACGAGAATGGCGGCGATGCGAGTGTCGTCCGGGCTTTCTCCGTCTCCCGGGACTGCGCTGCGGCCGTGAAGCGCATGGTGGGCCCCCGTCATTTCGGGGAATGGGTGGATATGTTCGTCTTTTGCCACAACATCGGAAGAGGTGACGACTTTCCGGAAGCCGTAGTCATGTGCGAGGTTGCGGATTTGGTCTCCGTGGCCCCCCAGGACGAGCACGGTTTCGTCGCGATAATTCGTTACCAAGTCGTGGTACGGACTGTGAGATTGGACCAGCTGGCCATGGCGGAGAGACGCCAACCCCAGACGAGCTGCGATCCTTTTCTCGTGCTCGGCCTCATTGTGACCCCCGCCGTTCGTCAAGAAGATGAAGGGAACGTTGAGGTGTTGGAGGAGCTCGATGGTTTTCTTCGCCCCCGGAAGAGCCGTCTTTCCCTTGACGAGAACACCATCAATGTCGAAGGCAAAGGCCACAGGGTATTTGGGCTTATCCCCGTTGATGTGAGCCATGTTGATGTGAGCCATGTTGATGAAGAGCCAAGGCCGGATAATAGGTGACTGGAACAACAGATGCCCAGTAATGAGAAGCAAAGTGGTGAGAAGTTGATAGTATTTGGAAGGGTGCTCGTCGCCAGGAGAGCTACAGGTGAGGAGTGGATGTTGATGAAGACTAGATCTCGGTTGTGATTTCTGTTCGTTATTTGTGTAGGACTCAGGAGTAGACATCGATGGAGACTAGAAAGGACGATGGCCTATTTGTATCTCCTGGTCCAGTGGAAGGACGACGCCGTCTACGCTGAGTGTTCGTAGAGCAAGCAGAATCGATCGTGATGTTCAAGGTCGAACAATGGCTGTTGTTCAGGACAATAGAGCTTGACCTTGACCTTGGCCTTGAACATTGAAGTGGGTATGTTGCTGGGATTTCTTTATCGACATTTCTTTGTATGTTATAGACAATCATGTTATTCGATTTACGGCGCTCTGGATGTGAACTGCGCTGGCTTACCTTTCGTCTCATATCTAGGGAAGACTTCGAGGGCAGTAGGTTGCAGAAATGCGGCTCGTATGGCCCATGTGCCTCTGCCTCGTACCTGTGCCCGCAGCAGTTATTGTGTCTTTTATATCTTGGGTTGGTTAGAGGTTTCCGGGCCTCGGTGATGTGGGAATTGGCCTCCTTGGTCGCGGAAGGGAAACTCTGAGACCCTCGGCTGTGGTCATTGCGAACATAAAACACTTCTAATGAGCTTGTTCATGATATTCAGGAAGGGGAAGAAGGGAAGCTAGCAAAATAGCAATGATTTCTTTCGTCGTCACTATTGTGTGAACTGCCAGGCTGTTCGATATGGATATGCCTCGTCTTCAATGTGTCGGCGGGCGGCCACGCTGCCCACTGTCGTCCAGTAATCTCCTATTTGTTTCATTCACCGGCTTGTGGCTCTCTGCTAAACGACCAGAGAGATGGCGTCCCTGTTTCAGCAACGCAGACTCCCGGCTCATGTGGTCTATTCAGCTGACAGCCCTACCCATGGTGAGTATAACAAGCGACAAGCGTGAGTTGACAGTACTCACAAGTCTATCCATCATCCAAGGTGTTGTGGTCCCGTGTCTTCGTATGTAGTCGTACACCCGTCCATCGTCTTCGCCAATATAGAGGCCTCCCACTGGCGAGGCATCGTTTGTCTTTCTGTCCCAGTTCAACGCGCCTAACCCAACAGGTTCACGAATGGCTCAGGCCACGATCCCCAGAGAAAAGGCCGATCTCCCAACCGGCCAGCCACGGGGGCTAATATCTTCATCTTTCGCCGTTCCTTATCGACGTCGGCCACATACACAAAGCCCATCAAATTGGCAGTGCGAATCGTCTCGGGCGAGTCCTTCGTAGAGGCGTGCGCAATTGCCAATGTCGAATGCGTCATCAGAGGTGATGGCTCTGCCACCATGATCCCGTCATCGCGCGTTCCATATATTGAGGCTTCGACTTCCAGTCAGCAAAAGTGTAATCCGCGCAGCAGAGGGGAAGCTTTTTTTTTTTTTTTTTTTTTTACGAAGACAGGGCTGAAGGGAGGCAAAAAGGCACGTACAGTCGCCCAATCGATAGATCGTCAGGCTGTCAAAGTCAACTTGCTGCGTGGCGGGGCTGAGGGTGCGGCCAACGCTGCCGAAGAAGTATTCCTTAATCAATGCTTCACACGTTTGTTCTCTGAAGGCCTCGTCCCGCTCGGCGACACCATCTGACTTGTCAAGAAGGATAACATGGGTCTTCTCCCCCGGCCCCGTCTCCTCGTGTGACAAGCGTTTAGAAAGTTCCGCAGTCAAGCGTGACGACCCGAGAACGATGACAATGTTCACTAGGAGGATCAATATTTAGCTAGAGAAACCGGCAAGCCAAAAATGAGAAAAAAAAAAGAAAAAAAAAAAAGGTCAGCCATCACGGGGTCGCTCTCACCAGAAAATTCCTCGGCAATATGCACGAGAAGGTCCGTTTCAGCCCGGCTCTTCTCGTCCACCGCAGGCGTATCGACAATAATCCCAGAACTCCTCACACTCGAATCGTGCGAAAATCGCGACGTCGCCGTCCCCGCCAGCCGGGTGACGAGCTCACGATACTGATCGGGTGCCTCCGTGGGCGATGCCCTGCCGTAAAAGAACACAAGAGGCAGCTTGACGGGGACTTGGTTCGGCCCACTCGTAGGCGTAGTCCCCCATCCATCGACGGCCTCTATGTCCAGAACGGACGCAAGCACGCTAGCGCTGAGCGTGCCGGGCAACGCCAGCATGCCCTCCTTGGGGTCGGCATTCACCACCAAGGGCTGGAAGCCGACGCGGGTGGCGTAGCTTGCCAGTGTCCGAGCGACGCTCGTCTTCCCCGTATTGTGTGATCCGCAAATCAACACCCTGGGTCCATCGGTACCACCAGCCGCAGCGGTTTCCCTCATGGCAGTGAGCTTGAAGTGTAGGTTCAGGTAGGAGTTCATGGGCGAGTCGGTGGGCTGGTAGACTTCGGCGACGAATTCGTCATGGGGGATGCCGTCGACTTGGATTTTGCATCCTTGCAGGGTGAGGATCTTGGACTTGACGCCGCTGAAGCGGTAGGCCTGCTGGGAGGCCAATTCGGTGCCGTCCTTCTCCGCCGTGCCGGAGATGAGTTTGACTTTGATCTCGGAGTTGAAGCCGACTTCGAAGCGCCATTCCCAAAACGGATTGAGGGTGAGCGTACGATTTGTGCTTATCGGGGCCGCCGGTTGCTGTATTCACGGAGTTTGTTAGCTACCTTATTTATGCTGGGCCTGACGGAGAAGTGGAAGGGAGGGGGGGGGGGGGGGGGGGGGGGGGGGGGGGGGGGGGGGGGGGGGGGGGGGGGGAGGAGATATGGAACGTGCCTGGGAAACCGTCTCCCGGCCTAAACCAGGGATAGACATAGTGGCTACCTGAGGGTCATGGAGAAGATTATAATTATGAGTTCACAGTCAGTCCAGTCCGCCTCAATGTGGTACGGATAGGTATAGCTAAATCCCAAAAAGAACAAAAATGCAGTGTCTCGGGGAACTTTTTACAGGTGCAGAAGCTCTCCCACGATTGGGACTGTCTGTACCTAGGTAAGGTATAGCACGACGCGGGGTGCTTCGTGTTATGGAGACACAGTACCTTATGTAATACCTTACATAACTACCTAGGTACGTACCTAGCCCAAGGGCGGAATAGCAGGGTCGGAGTTACTATTCATCCGTTTAACCCAATGAACGGTAAGGACTCTCCATGCTAGTGGACCGTATACGTCACGGGGCGTCCCTTGCCGAGCTACACTGCCCCCTATCAACTCTGAGTCTCCATGACCATTCGCCCACCATAAACGTCCTAGGCTAGAGCATTCCTTTCCGCCCCCTACCAAGTCATCATCCTACCATCCCCTCTCTCATCTTCCCACAACTCTCCATCCCGCATCTTTAGAATCAACTACCAGCAGCAATCCTTGCATCGGCAGACCGTCGACTCAAGCCTTTCTACCAGAAGCATTCTCGAAATCCTCCAGCCATGTGCTCGGTAGATATCTTCCTCGGCTTCCTAGCCATCCTCTTCCCCCCGCTGCCTGGTACGTCTTTCGCCCTGCGCCCTTCAACAGCAACAGAACGTCACTAACCCATCTGCCACAGTCTGGGTCAAACGTGGCATTTGCTCTGTCGACTCCGTGATCAACATCCTTCTCCTCATGCTTGGCTACGTAGGTTCTTGCCCCGCCCTCGGCTCCTTGTCCCTCTTAGCAGGACCGGACTAATATCATATCTCTCGCTCGCCCTTGCGCAGATCCCCGGTCTCATCCACGCATGGTACATCATCGCCAAGTTCCCCGAACCACCTTACGAATACGACGTCGTCCCCGGCCAGGACAGCGAACGAGGCCGCGTCACCTACATCTTCGTCCACACCCCTCCGCCTCAAAGCCAGCCTCAGTACAAGCCCCAGGGCCCGGACAACGTGAATTACGGAACAACGAGTCATCCCGGCCAGTCGTCCAATTCTCGCGGACCTCAAGCCCAGACCCAGGCCCAGCCCCCGCATGACCCCCAGGGCCATGAGGACGCAGGCGAAGGCGGTAGCAACGGGCCCGCGCCGCCCAGCTACGCCCAGGTCGTCGCCGGCGATCACAAGGTCCAAGACCAGGCATAGAAGAGCATTAAAATTAGAGTGGTACGATGCGCGGGGAAATGGCCGCTCGAGGTCCCTTGTCCCGCCGCTTCTTGCGTCTAGCTACCTACGCTGCATTGATATACCTGAGGGCTATAATAAACCTGCCGTCGTGAGTTTGCGGGCAACGGAGCAGGATGGGGAAGCTAGGTGGTGCATTCGGCTGATGCCCAAGGCCTCGCTAGCTGTATTGGTTTCTTTGTACACTCTCTGGACGTGGCGCGTTTTTACTGCGGGATATTGGCTGATGGGTTTCAGGGAATTTCGGAATAACGGTACGAGGAACAGTGTGATCATCGGAGTATAGTCTCGGCAAATGGCTTTGTGGTATTTATTGCAAATTAAGGCGACGACGAAAGTGGCTCTGGCTCGCCCCACACGTAATCACCTCCATAGTATCCAAGCGTCTCGCCGCCAGTGTCAGGGTCCTTGGCCGAAGGCGCGAGGCGATCGTTGGGCTGCGGGTCTCGGAAATCGCGCATCAACGACTGCGGTGGGAAGCAGTACCACGAGGCCAAGACCTGCAAGACCTGTTTGATGAAGCTCGCGCCAAAGTTGAGGTCGCATGCGACAAGACGCAATTTCATGCCAGGTTGCAGGAAGAAGAGAATGTCGGAGTCGAGAAGGTAGGTCTGCTTCTCCGTCGACAACGGCCGGTTCCGAGCAAGTTCCCCATCGTCCCAACCATCTTCGATCTTGCAGGGTACCATGACGGCGGTGCCGACAGGGGCCAGCATGCCGCGCTTTCCGTTGATGGGGATGGCCCGGAACCTCTTACGAAGATCCTCGTCCGGACGGCGCACTTCCACCACCTCGAGACAGCGCTCCTCTTCGCGAACGACCCGCACATCGCCAAGGTCGCCCTGGACCTTGATCAAATGGCGGGCATGTTCCGCAGACCCTACGAGCATGACGGCGGTCTTGAAGGCGACGTCGGCTTTAAAGCTCTGGGGACGACGGAAACCCTGATGGGTATCGCGGAAGTGCGGGATGAAACCCGGGCAGAAGAGCTCAGCCGCGGCAAGGTTGAACTGGCCGGGAAACTGGAGCAGGGCGCCGTGAGCGCGAGGCAGGTCGACGTTGGCGCGCTCGCAGAGGGCAATGGCGTCCCGAATGTCCTGGGCGTACTCGGGGCAGACGTCGTGGTGGAGGACGTAGCGGAGGAAGTTGTCGACGACGCCGATGGCGACAGCCATGTCGTAATAGTTGTAGCCCGTCATGAACGGGAGCGTGTCGGACAGGAAGCCGGCGGCGACGCCGGCAAAGTCGACGGTCCACCCGGAAGCTGGGTCGTTCACATCTTCTCCGGCATAGAACTTGCAAGCGCCGCCGCGCGAGCGGTGGACGGCATCGATGGCGGTGGCTATGCGGATTTCTTCCACTGTCATGTTGTCGAGGTCATCACCGGTGGGGGCACCGGTGAACTGCCGCTGGCTGGTGTCGACGCCTCCGAGGAAAAGGTACTCGTTGAAGTAGCGCACACTTCGTGGGTTGATGCGGCGTCGGGAGCGGTACCGTTGAATACACTCCTCGATTCGTCTATTTTCCCTGTCGATTAGCGAGTTACCCGGTGGCTGAACCGCACACGTACCGGCGGAGAGAAGAGACATCACATACTCATGGAAGGGTCGGAGTCTAGAGATCAGGTAGCTAGCCGTCAGCTTGCCATTGCTCTTAATAAGAGTGTCCATGGAGAGACAGAGCGGCATAATACGTACGGCGAATAGATATCATGTTCCATTTGAGCCTCCTCCGGTGTCATGGGAGGATCTGCATAGTATACTGTAAACAAGGTCAGACCCGATGGCCATGATACAGCACTTCGCACTTCGGTGGACTCACACTCGAATCCCGTCCCCCGATTCTTGGGTAGAGAAAGAGGACCCCGGGCTGGGATCGGTTTCTCATCATCATCGTTGCATGTCTTAGCCATGGCTTTGAGTTTGGCGTCAGGTCAGGAGTAGCTAGACCGCAGAAGCTAAGTTCAGCTAAGTCTTAAGACTGAGAGGCACTTTGGCTAAAAGGTATAATATAAGGTCAAGTTTGCCGTTGTTTGTGTCTTTGAGGTCTGACAGAAAGCAGAAGAATAACTGCATAAGCTCGTATTTGTTTTGGATTGGTTTATCCTCTAGGAAAACAGGGGCGGAAGCCATAAGAATCTCCGCAAGCAAAGATATCGGTCAAGGCAAGTGGTACTTACAAGCTCTTTCTTACGTTGTTGTACCACTACCTTAGGTAAGTATAGATTCTATCCTCTGAATACCTGTACCTTAAGGTACCTACCTTAGACTCTTCTGTCTTGGGCGCTGCCGTCCCAGGTCTTCAGGACTCGTACCTCAGGGCAAGGGCATAGCGCATCTATGAGATTAGATGTCCCTACACCGAACTCACCGACTACACCGAATTCACTATGTAGTTCACCGGGAACAGTATTCGATGTAATACCATACAACGCAAAGGAATTACCAAGGTACTAATAAATTTCATTCCTTCTTCACATATCTCGTGTACGGCTGCTACACTCCATAAGGTATACTGCAGTTCATTTCTCGCGCTGCCACCTTTCAGGCTGAGCCCGGCCAAGCGTAACAACGTCAGCAGATTTCACAGGCTCGGGTCATATGGCGGCATGGCCCGTTTGAGGACAGCAGAATGCCAACACAATATTCAGGGTCCCTTGGTGTTGGGGAGAGTTGTCATGTCCGTTGCATGGCTGTTGGCTGTTGGAGGCCTGCGGAAAGGCGGTAATTACTCAGGACGGAGTACTGAGGTGGTTTTTGTTCAGGCTTGGAAGAGGAGAAATCAAATGAGTAGACGTGCACGGATCGATTGGCGACAGAATAATAAGGGAAGGATTACGGCGCCCGCTTGAAATATGGATCCATAATAACATAAGTCCCCTTACCTATAAACCCCCTATTTTATAGTACTAAAACGAGGTCCGGCGGGGATAAGGTATATACCGTTATATACTATTATATTTAACCACCCTTAATTACCTGTCTACCTTATACTATAGACTTTAACCACTCTACTTAAAATCTATAACTATCACCACCACGCCCACGATAGAAGGACCCTACGGCCTTACGCCGCCGATTACCACCTACGGCTTAGCAGAAAAGGCTTAATAAGCTATTCAGGAATATACCTTCTCGAACGGCTACTCTCTTATTATTAAAGAATAGTATCCGCCCGCCTTCATAAGTAAAAGTCCGATACGAATTATATTCCGGTATAGGAAAGGACGTTCTAAAAGCGCTCGACTATCCTAAGTCTATAAGACTAAGCGTAGAAAGACCTCTACGTAGATAACTAACTATCCTTTTCGGATTAATATTAAAGAGTAGGGCGGGCAATAGGTTATAGATCCTATTCGTGGCCGTGGAAACGATACGGCCCTTTCTTATAACCACCTATAGGCTAAAGCCTCGTTCTTTCTATCCTTTTATAACTTATAGCTCTCTGTATTTAAAGATAAGGTCGTTAATATATAGAATACTAGTATTCGGCCCTAGTATATTATAACGAGGCTCCGAAACCCAGAATCGTTAGAATAAGCACTATTTTAGGTTATTTATTTGGATATTATAAACTTACTTACTAAACACCGTAGAGATAAGCTTACTAGCCATAGCCCGTTATAGTGGCTTTATAAAGTAACCCTTCCTCTCTTAGATATCGGAAACCTAGCTAACACCTACTACTTCTATAGTAATTAGATAACGCGTCGAGCTTCTTCTACCAAGACCTTTAAGACGACCTAGGCCGCGTTAAATACCTATTTATCGCGCCGCGATCTTCTATTAAGCTACTACGTTAATTCCCCGACCTTCTACTATTTAACTACACCTATAAGACTAATCGCTTTAATATACCGTTACTTAGTATCTACGGTATCACGCCTTTCCGAAAAGTGTTCCAGGTTACCTATACCTTCCTAAACAGGGAAAAAAAGGCTTAATATAACTAGTCTTTAAAATACCTTTTCGCGTTCCTAGGTAATTCTTACCCTATACCGCGTTATATTATTACGGACTATAAACTCGCCTTAATTAAAGCCCTTTAGAACCACCTAAAGTCGAGTAGTATTAACTTCGTTTTATACCGCTAGTATATTAATGCTAATATCCTAACTAAGACTAAGAGCGCCTTTCTGAAGCTAACTCGAATAACCGACGGCCGGATTAAACGCCACCCTTAATTCGTTACTTTTCTTAAGGCCTAGAATACCTTAATTAATAGTAGTATAGAGGAGGAGTTTAACCGGTAACTAGGAAAGTTCTAGCGTAATAGCGTTTACCTAAAGGACGCTATTAATTACGCGGTGAATACCTGGATTACACTATAGAAAGAGAGGTTCGTTATTTACTAGCTAAATAAAGTGCCTTACTTCGGGCACTTCACGATATCCATTACAGAATCTTTACACGTAAGCCTTAAGACCTTCCTATACTATTCGACTAGGGATTTAGTAATAGTCTTTCGTAAACTAAAGCTATACTAAAGAAACTAAGAGGAGGAGATCTTACTTAAGAGGAATAGGCGAATAAATAAGGTAGCGTTTACTACGTAAGGCTTTCTCTTTAGCCTAGTTCGCTATTAACTTATCCCCTAGGCTCTCTAGATTCTATTATAACCGCGCAGATACGGCTTTAGAGTGGTTTGGCAGGTGGTCACGTGACCCCCTTTTTAAGGCTACGGGGTCCACCTCCTATATATATATTAAGAATAGGCGCCGGATATCCCTATCAAGGGACTAATATATAATTATTATCCTCTTTTATAATTACTTATCTTATATTTAAGGTATCTTTCTAGTTTAACTTACGTTACCCTAATCAGAATAGTGATTACCGATCTAATTCTTCGCTAAAGGTTATAGCGGTATTAGTTATATTTTAGTTATATATCGTGGTTTTACTAGACTAACCTCTTTATCTAATCTTTATCTTAACGATCTAGTGCTACTACGTCTTTATCTGGTTATAATATAGTGCTCGGAGGCGGATTTATTCGGCGTCCTTAAAGTGTTCTAACCCTGATCAGAGTAATAGAGGCGTTTAAGGGAGCTTCCGGCCCTCCTAAACGGACTATTAGTTAATAACCCTAGGAAGAATATAAAGATAACGACTAAGGAAGGATTTAACGCTTTAAGACTAAGGGGAGATTTACTCTAATAAGATCAGGAAAAGAAATAACTACTTAGGTAAGAGTTAAAGAACTATTAACACTTTTAATTATAAGACCCGCCGCCACGGAGGTAATAATTATAGGAATAGAAAAAACCGATTAGATTATAATAGAGTTAGATTCCGGATATAGAATAGACTCGATAGGGGGCTTATAACCCCTACCACTAATTAAAATAGATTCTCGTATAACGGCGAAGAAACGATAAGACCGCTAAGAGTAGTTTACCCGGATTAGGGTAACTAAACCCTAGTAGACCTAATAAAAAGCTAATACCGAGTATAGGAGCGAAATAACGATACCTTATAAAAGGACCTGATAGTCTAGTAAAGACCTTTACGGACCCTGTGAGTAAGTTATAATACTCCTTCGTAAGACTTAGCGTATAGTGCTTTTAATATTAATATCCGTGAGTATAGCCCCTTTACTAATAGGTAATCTCCTAATCGTGAGGGGCCTTTTCCTTTAAGGTGAGTTAGAAAAGCTAGACTCCGAAGATAAATATTATAGAGTGAAATCTAGGACCACTACTACCCTCTCGTTAAAGACCTTATCACTCTTATTAAGATAAGATAATATATATAATAACCTAGCTAGTATCTAGAATACTTATAGAATCTTTTACTAGACGATTAGTTCGAAGAACCTTACCCTAAACGCCCTAACCCTATTATTATTATTCGCCTACCCTCTTACACTTATACCTAAAATACTATAGATACTTAGAATTAGTATCGCAAACCTACCCCTATTATCGTTATTAGCGACTCCGATAATAAAGCTCCCTCGCCGGCTATTCCCCCTATTCTTACGCCCGCTACTTCTACTACCCTTAATTAGGGGAACCACGATATCGGGGCTACGGCCTTACCTCCGCCCGCTTTTAGGCCGACTACTACGTTTACTATAGCTCCGATTACTATTTCGATAACTACCCTTAATACTACTATAACCAGATAAAGACGTAGTGGCACTAGATCGTCAAGATAAAGATCAGACAAAGAGGTTAGTCCAGTAAAACCACGATGCATAACCAAAACATAACTAACACCGCTATAACCTTTAGCGAAGAAGTAAATCGGTAGTCACTATTCTGATCAGGGCAACGTAAGTTAAACTGGAAAGATACCTTAAACGTAGAATAAGTAATTATAAAAGAGGATAATAATTATATATTAATCCCTCGACGGGGATATCCGGCGCCTATCCTTAATATATATATAGGAGGTAGATCCCACAGCCTTAAAAAAGGGGGTTATATAACCGTCTACTAAACCACTCTAAAACCGTATCTACGCGGTCATAATACGGCCCTAGTTATCTCGTTTACGCCCTCGTAGCGTAGATAACTCCTAAAAACAAGCAGATATAAGTAAATAAACTAAGTAAAGAGCTATTATATACCCTTATTCCTCTAATCACCCCGTCCTCCACGTATACTAAGTTAGGGATCCTCTTAGTTCCTATTCCTCCGTATATACCGTTCCCTCACTATCTTTATCGGCTATATCCTTAAAACGTCCTTTATCTAATCCTTTATATATACCTTTACTTACGCTTTTGTAAAGTCCTTCCTCCGAATATATAGTCCGGCTTATTAGCCTTTTTAGCCTCCTAATTAGCGGCGGCTTTATCTACCTCCTACTTAATAGTGGTATTATAATAACGTTAGCCTCCCTACTCTACTACTCGCGATAGCGGGAGATACTCACTCCTATTAGTAGCGGTATCCTATAAGACGGCTCTATAGGGGTTATTAAACGACTAGACCTAATCCTCCCGGTTATAGTTACTCGGTCTGAATAGCACGTTCTTTATCTTAATTAGCCTATAGAATAGCAGGCTACGAGATATCTCTAG